AAGAAGAAGAAGAAGAAGAAGAAGAAGAAGAAGAAGAAGAAGAAGAAGAACAACAACAACAACAACAACAACAACAACAACAACAACAACAACAACAATAACAACAACAACAACAACAACAAATGTACTTGCTTCTAGAACGCACAGACTCACCAAACTGAATAACAATCGTCTCTCTTATGCTTAAAAAGAGTGAAAAATCCAACAATTCCGCGAACTATGAATAAACAAATCAGCACATCAAAGTAACGCCGCACGAGCCCTCACACACAGTACACACTCACACAATCGTCCAGCCACAGAGCGGTGTCACTGAGCGCACGGCCACTAATACTAATGAAGCAAGTCGTGAGGTCGGCTTGTGTTGGAGAGAGTGCGGGCGACACTCTCTTGTGAGAAGGTCGAAGTTCACCGAAGGCCAATGGTTGAACTAGCCACGGTATGACCTCATTCCACGTTAAACCGTTTGGTGTTTTTTATATATATATATATATATGTATGTATACGTAATTAAAAATACTTTTTCCTTGAATGAAGAACTTCGCTGTGCGAGTTTGACTCTCACATACACACGTTGTGTGGCTATAGTATAGAATGCCTCTTCTTGTTTTGTAATTTTAAGGAAAGTTTGGAGTTTTCCTGTTTTTTTTGGTGTTTCATTTCACTTATTTGCTTCTGTTTGATTGTTTTTTTTTGGGGGGGGGGGGGTTGTTTAGTTTGTTTGGTTTTCCCTTTTTTTGGTCTGTTTTTTTCTGGGTTTTTTCTTCTTTTTTTGGTTCCTTTGGTTTTTTGAAGGGATGAAAACAGCTAAAGCCTTGTTTTCCATTTGCACTTTCCTATCATTTGCTGTGCTGGCTTCGTTTCCGTCAAAATATGTGTCCTTAATATTCTCACTTTTCATGTCGAAGAAACATGCTACTAAACGCTATCTAGGAATTATAAAGTTTCTGTTTGACATTTCAGGACTATGAGAAACCAAATGCTCTGTCTGCTTTATCAAAATCGAAAGATTATTTGGAGTCGTTATCATGTTATTCGATGATTTGCATTCGGAGTCGTTATCATGTTATTCGATGATTTACATTCGGAAAAGCTTGATGTGTTGTGAGACTCAACATTTTTCACGTCAAATTTCTCAAAACTAGGTACCGAGCAGATTAGAATTTTGTAATTGTTGGAGAGCAAAATGCCAACAGTTACGCTCAGGCAAGTGAAACGCTATCTGTTTCGGAATGTTATGATGATAAATATTACCACACTCACACACACACACACACACACACACAAATCTGAAGTCAAGAATAAATATTCACGCTCATGGCAAAATAACAATGGCAAGTACAGACTTCTAACATACACTGGTTTACTGCAGATTACTTGGCGTATTTGTCTCGTAGTCAGTGTATGTTTGCTCAATCATTTTACGTTGGTGTTGTCTCATAACACAACCTTAAATAAATGCTCTCTAGCTGCATTCTTGTTTGCATTATAGATCTAATCGTAATAGGTAACTCTCAGAAAGAGGTCAACATTTGTCAGAAAAACGTCAAGACATAATCCTAAATATTCACTTGCTACAATTATACAGTGGTCTCAAAAGCGACCACGAAAGAAATGTTGACTTGGCTAATATGTATGTATGCATTATGCATTATACTTTTTTGTGCTGTGTATATATATACAGGCTGAAGAGTTGGAGAGATACCCTGCAGAGGACATGATTATCCGTAATATTCATTTGCTACAGTTACAATGATCTCAAAAGCAACCAAGGAAAAAGTGTCTTTTTCACTTAGCTAATAAGACTAATGAGATCTATTCTGTTTGTGCTATATTATACAGGCTGAGGAGGAGAGATACATTGTATCCTTTACATTCATGCTTCAGGTGCAGTCATCTCAAAAGTGACCACGAAAAAAGTGGGGTTTTTTGCCTTAGCTAATAATTATATAAGTATGTATCACTCATTACTATACTGTTTTGTGTTATATACAGGCTGAAGAGGAGGAGAGATACACTGTAGAGGAACTACTCTCTGACCTGGCGGACTGCGCAGCACGTCAAGTGTTCCTGCTGGTGGACCAGAGCTACTCGGGTGAGATCTCCCACGCCCTGCGCTCCTCGACAAGTCACGAAAACGTGCTCGTCATTAGTAGCGGGAAAGGCTTCCAGTACTCCTACAACAGCGAGCTGACTCGCTACTGGTCCGGGCAGAATGACACTCGAGCTTGTGTCACGGACATATACAAGGTGAGGGTTTGATAAATAGTTATAGGTACTTGTTTGCGCCTCGCGACAATGCAAAAAATTTTTTAAGGTTTAAGTATCTTAAGTCAATATCCTTTTTCGTGTGTTGGTAAGTGTCTGACGACGCTCGCAACTGCATAAAATCATATTAGCGCGTGAGACACATTAAGAATTCGTCTTGAATTTTGCTGGATGGCACCCGAAGCCTGCTGGTATCGATTTTAGGAGCACCAAGGGACCGTTATCGTGCGCAACATGGACATGGGACCTCTGAGATTTTTGCGCCCTTGCCAGAGAAGGCTATGTGTTAGATCTTACCTACCCAAAGGTCAGGGGTGTGGCTGAAATACAGCAGTAAGAATTTGCCAAAGAGAAGCGGGAGAACATTACATGCTGCAGAAAGATCCAGGAGCCCAGAGAAGGGGGACAAAGCACAGAGGGGGGGGGGCATGAAGTGAAGACAAAAGCAGACTATAGAAGACGGTTAGAGACCAGGGGAGGAATTGAAACGAAACATTTTGGGGGAAGAAAATTATGTTCCATCGCAGTCAGGTTTCGAATCCGGGACCTATTGAATGAGAGACAAACACCGTGCCTAGAGACCACGAAAGCCCTTCGTCCATATCTGATTCGATGGAGCCAAAAAAGTGGAAGTAATGAAAACTCCTTGACTTGAATAAACCAAGTTCAAGAACGCCCTGTTTAGGATATAAACCTCAGCTCGAATTTACACCAACTGATCTTGCGGTGTTTTCAGTACATGCGGGAGATGATGATGATGATGATGATGATGATGATGATGATGATGATGATGATGATGATGATGATGATGATGATGATGATGATGATGATGATGATGATTATCATGATCATGATGAAGGTAATATTATTGTTATTATTAGTATTATTAGTAGTAGTAGTACTATTATTATTACTATTATTATCATCATTATTATTATTATTATTATTATTATTATTATTATTATTATTATTATTATTATTTGCATTATTATTATTATTATTATTTGCATTATTATTATTATTATTATTATTATTATTATTATTATTATTATTATTATTATTATTATTATTATTATTATACTTTTACTACTACTACTACTACTACTACTACTACTACTACTACTACTACTACTACTACTACTACTACTACTACTACTACTACTACTACTACTACTACTACTACTACTACTACTACTACTACTACTACTACTACTACTACTACTACTACTACTCAATAGTAATAATAATAAAATAATAGTAATAATAATAAAACAATAGTAATAAAAATAGTAAAATAAGAGTAATAATAATAGGAAATAGTCCTTAAACCCTAGAAGGTTATAAGTGCTGGACAATGTAGAATCATCGTTCAATATCTATCTATCTATCTATCTCTCTCTCTCACACACACACATACACACACACACACACACACACACACACACACACACTCACACACAAACACGCACACACATACGGACACGCACACCCGTACATGTATACAGCTCCCAGACTCACACACATTTTTACTTACAAAATCCACTGCCATAGGTTAAAGTTGCATAAATGCGTTTTAAGTATTTTCTTAAACTATCTTTCTGGTGACAAAGGCTGAAACGAATTTTTTTTTTTTCATTATTCGCTTATTTATCTATTTTCTTTTTAGGGGGCGGCACGGGTTCAATTTCTAGGGGCATGGGAAGGAAAATCTCTTCCACCTTACTTATTTGAACATACAGTAGGCACTCTGTTTAAGAGCCCCCCCCCCCCCCCACCCTTTTCCCCCCTATTGTTCTTAAAGGAAAAGGGGATATTACTTGTTCTTTGTCTTTTCTTTGTCATTCACAGAGTAGCTTAGACTTTATAGAGAAGTCTACCCCTCTCATGTCAAACCCTGGAAAAGTCGAGAAAACACTCTCGGGAGCACCCTGTGACGTCACGCCACCATTCTCGAATCGTGAGCTTCGTCGAGACTATTTTGGCTGCCAAAACCTGCCCACCGCCGTCTGGCTCCGGGAAATACTTCGTCAGTCGGATGACGACATTCCGGAAATCCCTGATGCATAATGGGAACACAATAAGTTAACAAGATGTCATAGTGAACAATTCCCTACTTTCCTTACAAGGAAAGTATTTTTGTTGACTTCAGGAGGAAAAGGACCCTTTCGGGTTCGGCTAAATCGGTCTTGCTGTAGGACCAGAAGACAAAAGATCCATGTGATAATTGTCCATACTGCCACAATCTGACCTTGACGAAGTGAACCATGAGACAAGCACATAGGCTGGCCGTCCTGTTCGCTAGTCGCAGCCATTCCGCTCAACATCGCTGCATAAAGCAAGCTTTTTACCACGCTTTGGAAGCCCAATAATCCGTTCATCACCTCGTAAACTCGCAGAAATCAGAGCATTTTATTGCTATTATTTTCATTGTGAATCCATCACGTAAAAAGAAGACATTTCGAGAAAGTTTTTTTTTTTAAATTGTAATCTGGATTTGATTACACGTTACAGTCAATTGACTATGTCATTTACTTGAGCATTTAAAACTGTTACAATGCACATGTACACAAAAACGCGATGAAACTGATAGTGTTTGCTTATTTTTGCTTGACAATGTTTTGAAATAATACAAATAAATCGTCTGAATAACGTTATCAACAATGGGAACCCACCCCTTTACCCTCAAGAAAAGGATCCTAAAATAAATAGCCATATGGTTATCAATAACACATTGTACATAAAAAAAAATATGTATTTCAATTATCACTGATTATCAGGCAAAAAGAACAAAGTATATGATGGAATGAGATATTCAAAGAAATAAAAGAATTCAAAGATTCATGAGTAAGCAAATGAATGAATACATTAAAGTGGTTCCTTTTCACAGTATAGTGATTAATGAAGTTCTAAAGTTTGAGCTTTATGTAGCCTGTAGGCTCGAAACCTATCTCTGAGAGTCGGGACTACCATACAAGTAGTGTGAATCCAGTTCTTGTTTTGTCTCTTCGCCTCGATTTTCAAATTCGAAATTGGAGATAAAAGTCATTATTTTGTTTTCAAATACTTTTACCCTCCACATGATCTTGTTCAATCTTTCTATTCACAGTGCATTTTTTTAAAAACATGTACCATTTGCGTCCTTTCTATACCGTAATTCCCCCTTAGATTACTGTTGAGGTGTATATGTAGCAAATACACTGACTTGTCCAATGTTCTCTGCTCTGGGTATATGCTCAGTTTTTATCGAAAATAACAACGGGATATCGTCAACGTCCACGCTGTCCTCTTCTCATTATAAGTTCTCTTTCTCCTCAACTGCCCCTCCTGCTTCTCATCTTTTTCCCCTTGACTCCTTTCCCAGCCCCTTCCTTCTCCTCCTGCTCCTCTCCGTTCTCATCTTTTTTTCACTCCTCTTCTTTCTCCTCTCCACATCCTCCCCCATCCCATTCCTCCCCCTCCTCCTTCTCAGCTTCACTCTATGTCCATTACCTTCTTTCTGTCCCTCCTCCCCATCATGTAGCATCACTTTAAACTCTTCACCCTTCATGTCTTTACATGATGTCACATAATAATTTATTTTCTCCTTCCCATTTCTAGTCGTCGTCTTCTCCTGCCATCATCTGGCACTGGTTTTAATCTCTACCTACTCCCATTTCTTACAACTGTGTAGCTTAGTTTCAATTTTTTTATATTCTTAATGTCAAAAGGATGATTTTGAAAAAATGGTAATTGTTGTCTTTGGCAGTGTTGTATTTTTTTATCATGTTCAGCTTATACGTCATTTTCATTATGAACAAAATTCACAATTTAACAAAGTACAAACAAGGAAAGATTGAAATGAACAACGTCACAACAATAACGACAGAAACAATAATTACAAGAACAACAGCAACAACAGCAACAACAGCAACAACAGCAACAACAGCAACAACAGCAATAACAACAAAGACGGTAAATACCACGAACAGACACAACAAAATCATAGCATAAGCAGCTGTATTGATAGCCAGCAATGACAACAGCTGCAACAACAAATAAAAACAGCAGTAACAACAGCAGCAACACCAATAATAACAACAACAACAACAACAACAACAAAAACAACAACAACAACTACAACTACTACTACTACAACAACAACAGCAACAACAACAGCCACAACAACAACTCTGTTGAAAAATATAACTATATAAAAATATGATATCCTTTTAATACATCATATTACGACTTCAGCATTGACAGTATCCGCTCCCATTAGAGGATCGAAAGTCACAGCCCTCAAACTAGTTTTTTTCTTCTATTTTAACAGGGTACGTTACCCTTATCCCACCACACATCAGCATTATCAAAGGAATTATTATGTATCTATGTTGCTTGCGACCATTGTATCGATGATGCAATGTTGTATTTATTGACTGATTGCGGTTTTGATTTTGCTTTTTAGAAAAAAGCAGTATGTCCATGTAGTTCCAAAAGTAACAGTTACTGATGCCCAATAAAATGACGTTTTTTCCTGTTTTCCCTGTATGTTTGTTATGCATTTTTACAGTTTAGTCTGACACTCTTTCTTAATATAAATGTTGTTCTTTTCCCCCGGTGCGTCAGGACCAGCATCTACACCACAACACTATGACATAGCACCAATACTTCACGACAATGTGTAGACAAAACCTGCATTCTTTAACGCTCTCTGTCTTTCTTCTCTAAGCCCTTTGTTTTGGCACTCCAAATTTTTTTTTTCTTTTTCTTATCAGCAACCCTTGATTTGCTCCTCTTTAAAAAAAACCAAACCAATAATGTGCGAAAAGGAAAGGGGATTGATATCGACCAAGATACAAAGAGCCCACAATAGATACATGAACAGAATAGCATCAACACGAAACCATGGTTCATCACGCAGTAAGAGGAAGCCTGGGTACATTGTACGTGATACATTTACTCCGGCTTATAGAAAGAGAACGAGAACGCAGCGAAGTCGTTATTGTTGTTATTATTATTATAATTTAAAAAAAAATAATTATTATTATTATTAATATTATTATTATCAAAATTATTATTATTATTATTATTATTATTATTATTATTATTATCGTTATTATCATAATCATTATTATTATTATCATTATTATATTCGTTGGCAGGCCTGAGTTTGTAGAACGAGGTCGGTTTCAGCTTAAAACCTCATAATATTATGATCACACTGGTTATAAAGTGTAAGAAATACACTCTCTCTAGCTGTTACTCGGAACTACAGACCACTCCTGAATAACAATTCTCTCTTACTTGATAATATCAGATCAGACAGATGCAAATCCTACCACGACTCGTTAGATAGTTTACCCTATCCTATACATTCCAAAAATCATTAAAAAAATTGTTTCTTTTTTAATTTTGTGGGGATGGAGAGCAAATACAACGACAGTTTAAAATCTCAAATACTACTTTTAAAACATTATACGATACGTTATTCCTCCGGCTTCTGTGTGTATCTTTCTGAACTCATTTGAAACAGAAACATGGAGTAGAGGTATTTTAAGTTTGTTTATGTCGACGAAAGGTTTGTAAACGTTTGCATCTGTCAACTTCAGGATTGATCAGAGGATAAATAGAAAGTGCTGTTCTGTTATGTATTTTATTTTGTTTATCACGGATAGTAAAACGGAATCTTATAGGACTGGGGATGGCCCAATGACGATTCTGATATTAAAATTAAAACTTTGGCGAAATGTTGGAGGGTGTACTTGTTCCTTTGAAACATCCGAATAAGATATGTACATATTTTCTGTTTTTTAAACGGGTACCTTATTCAAAGATGTGAACCTGTTTTATAACAAAAGGAAGTTAGAAGTACACACACACACACACACACACACACA